TAACACGCAGAGTTTGTACTCCTGCATTCTCAGTAAGGATTAGAAAGGTCAGCAGTTCTGAATAAATATTAAAGAATTGATGGTGACTAACATTTTATGAATGTTCACGATTTCTCCCTTCTGGAACATGAATTCTCAATGGCTGGCCTTGGTTTTAAGTGATATATCAACGATATTAATTATAGTAAAGGACAGCAAAAGTTTCTGTCCATCCAGGATCTGAAATCAGCTTAACATCTTATTTTCACATCTTTGGTTTTTTTTAAAAAAAAACATATATATTCTAACAGATATTAATCTAATTATAGACATAATATAATTATGGTTAACACAGATGCTTGAATACTCTAGAAATAAACAAAAGGCATGAAAGAATAGAGTGGATATGATAGCATTCTGATTTCTGACTAGCTGATTATAACCAGGCAATTAGGAACACCATATCTATAGCAAATAAATTAGATTTGTTAATGATGTGGGCATTCAAATGATAAAATTACATTTTAAAGATAGAAATTCTAAAGCTGAACACTAATGAAAGGAGAAAACAAAAGTAAAAATATATGAAGTTAATGATAATCTATTAAATACACTACAGCAATAAAAGATGAAGGAAACCAGCACAAAAAGTGGGCTACGAAGACTAATATGGGTTTATCAACACGTAATTTTTGAGTCTGGCCTAATTTATCATTTGCCTTTGACATCATTTTGCTTTCCCTTATTTTAAAGCAGCACATTTTTTTCTGAAAATTAGCAATACCTGTATCTACCTGTCCTGTCTGGGAGACTGAAAGATAAAGGTCTGTAAAGAGAAGAATGGAAAGAACTAGAAAAGATCAGGTGGTTTGAAAAAATGAGGACTGACTTAAAACGACCAAATTCACACCCAGCTGAAGACTACAGAAAAAACACAAGAATATCAATTCTTCCAGGGAACACCTTCCATGTCACTGATAGTGCCTGACACTCATCCCAAATTTTCCCTTTTACCAAAGACTAAACTTTATTAATTTGGCTTATTTTTCTTCTGAAGAAAGGGTATAAAAAATTGACAAGTAAATTTGACCGTGTCTTGTTAAGAGAAGCAAAAGATACTTCTGCTTAACATTTCAGTTGACGTATGTTGGGGAAGCAGGACCTTCATTTCATTGTAAGCAGTTGTCCACCCATTTATTTTAAAGCAGGCCACTCCCTTTGAACAAAATTATCCAGGATTAGCTTGATTATGAAGTGAAGCCCAGCTGCCTAAAAGTGCAGCAAAACTGACATTCGTATTGAATGTATTTGAAAAAAAAATGGTATTTGAGTATCAACTGGAAATAATAGTGCCATGATTTGGATCCAAAGACCCACATGCAGTATTTTGTGCATGCATCAGGGTTTGCCCAACACAATTCCAAAAAGTCATTCTACTTACACTTCAAGATAGTATGCAGTGCAGTTGTGGGATGGAGAGGGAATTAGTAATATGCACACATAGTGTGTAAGCAGAAGGGATATTTTGGATCAAAGGCAAAAGATTAGGAGTTGACATGAAAACAAAAGTATCTTCTCCAAAGTAAATACCAAAGAGGTTTTAAAGGGTTTCATTAGTTCATTCACAGACTATATTGCCTTTTTGTCATTATTATTTTGCTCTGTAATATGCACTGATAGAAAGTAAAAGTTGTAAAGTACTATTCCATTAGTACTTTGTTAAATACCTGTCAAGTTTTATTTGCATACACAGAAAACAATTAATCATTCAGTGAGGCAATAGAAATTAAAATTAACCTGGACTACTATACTGAAATGGTTTCCTTCATTATTTAAAACTCAGGAACAGGTTAATCCTTTAAAACATAATTTAATAAAAAGGAACATATTTGTAGATTACTAAAACTGCACTTCAAAAAAGAATGAAGAGGTCCTTTATCTCTTGAACCACTCAAAGAAATTACTGTATATTTAGACAAGCCTGATTCCAATTTTATTATACCTTTATTTTTGCACCAGCATATAACCTCTTAGCATAGGTATGCAAATTTCTGTGCTTCTCAGCCAGTGCTGCTCTGCTCTTTAGTTAGAACATAGCTTAAATAATAATTTTAAAAATGCAACCAAATGGTGAATAGAGAGATTTTATGAATTTTCAAAGCAAATTTACTTGAAAAAAGTTTATCAATTGGGATATCTTTTTTATTTGTAGTATGTATGATACATATTTTAGATTATAGACAGATACAGAAAATAATGTATATGTCATACCTATTTATATATCACAATATTTACCTGTTTATCACAAATTTACCCAAAAGGAAGACAAGCCTGAATTTAAGATTATCATCCCAAACAAGAAAATATACCAACATCTTGTACACCTTTCTCCACTTGGGCAATCTAATTGAAACTAATCCTGGAGACTGTCTACCTCCTTATTGCACCATTAAATATTTACACCTAACATATATTTGCACGTGCTTTTCTTTCTCTCTTTCAGTATATAAAATTGATAATCACCTAAATATGCATACAATTACATACTCTGTTTCTCACACACAACACATGCCCTTCTTCCTTTCCAGCAGAATTAGCAAATAAAGTAGCAGAAATGCAGATGGAAGACGGACAGCTATACTATAAAGAGCAAGACAAAATAGGATGTAGAGCAGCAGCTCCTAACCTTTTCTATACCCCACACCCCTAAAATGCTTCTGATATATTCTTGCACCCTACAAAAGTTCAAAATAATGAATTATGCATATATACTATAATTTTGAAACTTCAAAACCCAAGGTTTGCACCTCATAGTACAGTGTTTCTCAACCTTGACAATTTTAAGGCATGTGGACTTCAACTCCCAGAATTCCACAGCCAGCTTTGCTGGCTGTGGAATTCTGGGAGTTGAAGTCCACATGCCTTAAAATTGTCAAGGTTGAGAAACACTGTCATAGTATATCGTCTCGCACCCCCAGGGGGTGCGAGCACCCTTGGTTGGGAGCCCGTGATGTAGAGGAAGCAAAGTAGCTGAATAAGGAAAAAAAGAAAAACAATTTACAGAAAACTCATCTTTTGCACTGTGCCCAGTAAGCACAAATCTTATGCATCCTTATTCTGTAGGGTGTGAAACTCAAACCAATAACTTTTACTCTCCCAATAGGCAAACTTAGGGCTTTACTTGTTTATAGTCAGTAAGAAATCCAGTAACTCTCTATTTCTTTTTAGTAGCCTCCACGGCAAGCTGTGATGATGCCACAATCATGATTTACACACAGTGACATCAGATTAATGCCACAATCATGCCTTGATGTTGGGGCAGGTAAATTGCAGCATTTCCATGATGATGTCATCATGTTGTTTTGTCATTTATCTCCTCCTCCCCGCCACCCACATTTTTGCACAAGACATGGGTAGCTGTCCCATCCTCTTGTTGCCCATCCTCTTGTTGCCCTCCACTGTAGAGATGAGTTGCTATAGCAAGACAAAAAAGAGGAAGAATTCAAAACATTATGCCTGCCTTACCAAGAGTCAGGAGAGGATAAAAATGTCCCAAGTCCACTGTTAGAAAGTAATTTTTCTAACCTTGATCAGGGTGACTAGCTGGCACTGCAGATGGAAAACGTTCATGGACTCTGCATTTTTCTCAAGAGAGGCAAAAGCAGTGGATACCAGCTTTTCTCATTCTCCTGCCTCTGTTCTAGCAATTCCTTTGGACTATTTGAAGATTGCTGCCTATGGTTTCTTCCATTTGGGTAAATATGGTATAAAACTAGATCAAATTAGAAAATAAAGACTTGACCAAAGGTGTTTTTTGTCACTGAAATTAAGATATCTGCATTTTTGGCAGGTTTTCTTTTGCAAGCAAATAGCCATGAGAGGGCAGGAAAAGGAATGTGATTCTGGGGCAGGGGGAAAGCTTCTCTCCAAAGGGCTGCTAAAGAGTAAATAAAGTTACTGAGAGGCAAAAGGATAGAAAATGTATTTAATGTCTCATTTAATTTGATAGGAATTCATGAAGTTATTTATAGTTCTTTTGATATTTTGTGGAAAGAGAATCAGCAGTTTTGTTGATTATTTAACAAACATTTTTACTTAACTCAAGATATATTACCCTTTTTTAAAAAAAGAAAAAGAAAAGGTAATGCTATGATAACACAGCACTTATCATGTTTTAGGATTAGCTAAGGTTCTTAATTGTGTGTTCAATTTTTTTAGGGGCACATGCTCATCTTATTAACATTTTTAAATTTCTATTTGCTACAAAAATACCATTTAGTGAGCCAATCTAAACAGGGATTCCTCAAAAGTTTTGCCCTGAAGGCTTATCTGGAATGCAGGGAACATATTATGGGCACTTTCAAAAGTGACCTGTCCAAAGCTTTTTCAGACTTGGCAACTTTAAGATACAGACTTCAACTCCCATAAATTCCCCAATTACTGCTAGCTGGGGAATTATGGAAGTTGAAGTCCACAGATCTTAAAAGTTGCCAAGTTTGAAAAACGCTGGCCTGAATTATTCTAACACAAAATTTAGCAGAAGTTAAAATATTTTAGGCTGCTCTTTGCCATATTTTATGGCTTCTGAGAATTAAACAAAACACACTTCCAAACAAAAAAATGGGTTGGTTTTTTAACAACATGCTGGCTTCTCGTTTATTCTTTTAATTAAATGTATCTAAAAATATTAATATCAAATTAGGTAGAGCCTGGAACACAACAAAAAATGTATCCACATGTACACTACTACATAAATGATGGTTATCACCATTTTAAACAGGCTTTAAGAGTCAGAAGCCTTGACTGAAGGAAGCTCAGAAATATAAATGCAAATGGGAATCTGATAGAAGAAAAATGAAATGTTCAGCTATTTAAGCACTCAACAAAGGCTTTATCATGCCACATTCTAAATGGTGACTTGTAGCAATCAAAATAGCCAAGTATTAAAAAGTAGACGACTACTTTGGATCATGCAACTGTATGATCATGCTCCAACTGGCTTTACCAACTTTCATTCTTACCTCAGATTTTTCCAGTTTATTTTGAGCATCAATTTGGGTGACTATTTCATTCATGTTCGTCTCCAAAACCATTCCGCCCATCACCATTTCAGCCAGGATATTATGAACCTAAAAAGAACACTCAATAAACAATGGTTGCACCAATTATATCAATAATGCAGTTGTATTTTATTATGCTTTTTCTAAAGTATGCTTATCTTAACATAAATCAACTTTCCTAATATAACATTTGTAATAGATCAAATATATATTTCTTTCATCTGAAGCACAAGTGCAGTGTAGCACCAAGAACATTCACCCTCTGGTATGAAAAATAATTGGATAACTTTGGGACAACCATTTGAAATGAACCTAACCTACCTTGTAGATTATTGATGCGAGGGGTAGGGGGAATTATATATACCACTTTGAATTTTAAGAAGAAAGGTGGAATATAAATCTAATGAAAAGAATTGTGTTGAAATTTAAACTTTCGATTGCTACATCAACTAAAATAATTTTTAAAAAATTATATTCAAGTTTACCAAGTTTTCACATCATGTCTCAGACATTTGACCGCTACAAGCAGTCTTTCCCCCGCTGGTTTGGAGGGCTTCCTCAGATCAAACAGAAGGGCCACCGCCCTCCCACGATCAATGCCTTCTCCTTCTCCGTTGCCTCTTTGGGGTGACTTTTGACCCTTTTTAGGGTCCCCAGCGGGGCAAAATCGAACACGGAAGACGAAACCCCATCTTCCTGCGCCCATCATGCCACGACGTCAAACCAGAAGTCGGCAGCATAGTTTTCTAAATCTTTAACTTAGAACACAATATTCAAGAGGCTGATTTCAAATAAAGCATGCAATGATTCCATTCTTAATAACTAGAATGTACTATATGTAATCATTTTTATACTTCTTTGCAAAGAAATTCTACAGGTAAGAATGCCACAAATGGTATTTAATGTTTCAGTAAACTAAAAATTACTACCCTATCTATAACTGAAATATGAAAAAAACATATCTGATGGAAGCAGAAACAAATGTTTCTCAGAAGATTGTGACTTCATGTTACAGCATCTCACCACAGTACCTTGTCTACATGGAAAATTAAATCCAGTTCACAGACATTCTCAAAACACTTGTCTAAAGTTTCTACAAAAACCTGTAAAGGAAAAAAAAAACAAAGGGTCAAAGGTGAATAGCAACTTAACCTCGACATTATGAACAAACATGAAATCAAGTACTATTTACTATAAAGAAGTCAGGAAGTCAAATATATCCATATGCCTTGTCTCTTGGAAGATTGTTTTTAGCTGGCTGTAAGCCGCCCTGAGTCCTACGGGAGAAGGGCGGGGTATAAATTTAATAAAATGAATGAAATGAAATGAAATGTCAGAAACATTAGTTTTCTTGCTAAGCGATATGGTTGTAAACTGGGAAAAAAACATGACCCCGCCAACTTATAAGGACAGTTCTGGCAGCAGTGAAGCACATCATGTGATCATGACTTGGAACTCCCTGCTGGCTTCCCCACTGACTTTGCTTGTCAGAAGCCTGTGGTGAAGCTTGTAAATAGCGATCATGTGACTGTGAGACATTGTGACTGTCATAATTGTATCCAAGTTGCCAAGTGCCTGAATTGTAATCACATGACTGTGAGGACGCTGTGATGGCCACAACTTCGAGGATTGGTCACAGGCCTCCCTGTTCAGTACTGTCTTAACTTCAAACAGTTGCTGCATGAATGGGTCTGTAAAGAGATCAAATTTTATTAATATAATGCTCTAGCACTTACATAGAAATGTAAGCTCTCATATTTCATGCTAATTCCTATTTTGAAAATGCAGGAAGGCTAGATTATCATCTAAAAGATTATTTTTAGTCTATTGTTAGATACATCCACTACTTGAACATTACATTAATCTCAACCAGATCTACAAAAATTAGCCTACTAATCTACATTGGGTCATTCTGTAGTAGACAATTAGCATCCTTATATTGCTGTAATTTAGGAGCAATAGCCTACTGCTACAAACATCACCAAAAACTATAGTTTATTTTTATAAAAACAGAAATGTTTACCAAAAAGGCCATTGTTAAAAGTACAGCATATACTGAATATATGGTATCAGAATATATACATGTATTCTAAAAAAACCAAAAACAACTCCAGATGTTTGCTCTAAACTTCATTTCCAATTTGACCAAGGATAAACAAGCTGTTCTTTGCTTGCTCACTTTTCACCTGTGTATTTCTAATCTTACTATATTAAGTTTGTTGCTTTTTCAGTGAGCCTAGCATTATCTTACTTTTTAATTAGCAATATGGCTAGAAAATTAATAACAGCTTAACAGTCTAAATATGCTTAGGAACTCTTATTATAACTGTAAGCAAAATATGGTGGACATTATTTCAGCTATGACATAAATTAAACCCATCTGTTTAAGAATGGAGTTTGTTTAGATTTCAACATATTTTGTTTTGAAACAAGACTATTCCCTTTGTTTACATAAAGGGATTTATGCACTTAGTGATATTTCTTCCTTCAATACTCACCAACTGAAAAGACCAATTTTGAATATTGTTCCAAGTTAATAATGTAGAAGCTAACATGCTACAAAATGCCAGTTTCAAGCATATTTTTTATTTTGAAGAAAGTCTCTGGGTTCCATTCACTTCACCAACCTAAAAAAAACCCTACATTGTTCTTGTTAAAAAAATAGCATTCTAGTTGTAATACATATGAGCATCACCGCTTATTGCCACTCAAACATATATGAAGCAATTATAATTTTAATCCAATTTTTTTTTCCATTATAAAGAAATACTATCACTCCGTATCTCCATTCTGTATCATGTAGCAAACTCAACATGCATTTCTAATCCACAAGATATATAGTACGCATTACATTTCTGACTTCCTCTTTATGTATTACATATATATGCTATAGTTTGGGCTTGTTCAGTTTAACTATAGTTTGAATATAGCCACAAGCTTTCTTATGCAATCTAAAACAGAAATGAAAGCTTGCATATTCTTTCTTGTAGTACTAGAGCACGGGTGTCAAACTCGCCACGTCATGTGACGTGTCGCGACGTATCACGACTTTTTTTGCATTTCCAGAGCTGGAGTGGGCACAGCCACCGTATGATGCAACTGGTCTGCGGGCAGGCAGTTTGACACCCCTGTATTAGAGAATTGGAAAAGTGTTAACTTTAACTCATTTTCATGATAAAACAGCCTATTCATCAATCAATGTTTTAAGAACCAGCTTACAATGTTCACTATCTGTTGTCATGATTTCCTCAGATGAATCCTTGTCAGAGAATGAGAAGTAACAATGTCAAGGGTAGGTTATTTGTCAAAGACTTCAGACTTGGCCTGGAATTTTGGGTTTATAACCCAGACACATTGACCATGATTGACACTTCTCAACCCTCAATTTCTTACTGAGACAAATATTTTTGCCAAATGGGAAAGCAAATTCAGAATTGGAAAGAAAAAAGCTAAAAAGTTCAGTGGTGCTAAATATTTCTTCTAATGGGATATATAGAGCCCCTACTCAGTTTAAAAGTAGTATTTCTACATATAAGCCCTTAACAAATGCATAGTTGCAGAGAATAAACTTTATTTGTAGCATTATGTTCCTGTCTCTAGTGCCTATTTCCATCATATTCCTGAAGAGGCATAGATTCCACTTGTCTCTTGTTATGATAAGAACCAGATCTAATTTTAAAAAACTCTCTAACCATATAAGAACTGACTCTCCCATTGTTGTGGATCTGAGTTGTTGCTTTCTGGTGCAAGAAGATTAGGAGTAAAGCACATCAAATTATAATGATGCAGGTATGTTACAAACTTTCTAAGCATAATGTCAAAATAGGTGCTTTTAGCTAAAGAGAAAAGGTACACTAAGTCATTATGCTGCCATAAAAGTATTACTGAAACAGAATAAAATAAGACTATTCAAGTGTCTGCACAACTAAGCGTTTCCTGGTAGTGATATTAACATGTCTAATTCTACAAATCACAATGTATTATGTAGGCAGCATTTAAAAAACAGCAAGAGTGCACACAAAAAGACTGATTGAAAGCTAAGATTAGGGGAATTAAAGCTACATAAGTGCAAACTTATGTTTTCAACTGCAAAGATGAATGGAAGCCACTAAAAACATACTACACTTTGTTGTTTGTCAGTGAATAAAGGGACATTCATTTTCAAATCACTGCAATTAGAAAAGTAACATTAGACTCTAATGGTAAGTTAGCACCTAGCTCCCTCTACTGCTTTATTCTGGAACCCACAGTTAACAAGTTTATATATTAGGGTAGAACATGTTTTTAAAAAAGAGCTTTGGATCCCACATATAGCTGTTGCACTGCTGCTCTATTAATTAAAGTAGTCTACCCTTTATTTTTCATGTTTACTGAAAGTCTAAAAAATGTACATGCTTTAAGGAAACAGTTCCCAAGTTAGTAAGATTCTTAAAGCAGCCACAACTTTTTTAGGTATGCATAAAAGCCTGAAAGTTGGGTTACTTTAATGAATAAAAAGATGCTTGCTCACACAGAATTCAAAACACTTCTAAATTATTTTAGAAGTATGCACATCCCTATTATATATAAAAAGCAATTATTTAATTTGCAGAAGTTAGGAAGTCCAAGTATAGTCGGAGAAAAATGTCTAAGATTATCTTCTTTATGTAAGCAATACAAAAAAATTATATAAAACTTTCACATTTTATACAAAGTTATCTAAGGTAGCATGTGAGCCCCACTTATAGAATATAATTATAGTATAATCAGAGGCATTACCCATGATTTGCAGGACTATTTATCTCTGACTTACTCTCTCCATCCCATTAGATCTGACAGAATGAGCATGCCTTGGTGTCCTCAATGAAACAATGCCATCTAATGGGACTCAGGAATTATGCTTTTACTGTCCTGGCACCTGCCGTTTAGAACAGCAAATCCCATGAGATCCAAAAGGCCCAAATCTTGCTCTGCTTCCAAAAAGCTTTAAACATTTGGTTTTATCCCAAAGAACTGAGTTAGGATATTGGATAGATCCACATGGAACAATGATCTAGGTTCTTGAATAGATTTGTGTTTTGTGCTGTTTGTGCTATTTTATAATGTCGTTCTTTAATTTTCATTGTTTAACTTTTTTGTTTTTATGTTAACCACCCAAAAATGCACTTAATGAGCTGAGTGCCCAAAAAATAAATAAAAGAATGGGACTATCTATACCAGGTATGTCAAACTCGCAACGTCACGTGACATCACACGACATATCGGGACTTTTTCCCCATTGCTGGCAATGGGGTGGGTGCGGTTTCAGCGTGACACATCCGGCCCGCAGGCCGGCAGTTTGACATGCCTGATCTATACTATGGCAGCCCAAAAGTGGTTTGACCAGTTATGGATGTACTTATTCCTAATACCGTAACAAAAAACATATACTACTTATACTATCCCATGGAATTTATGATCCCTAAACTTGATCAGAAAACCAATTTAAAAAGTAGTACAATTCCCAAATAAGTCTCAATTGCAACATCAGATTTCAAAAAGTCCAGCTTTGTAATTACCTTCCTTCAGACACCTACTCCTTTATTGGTTAATACGTCAATGTGAGGATAAGGAACTTGCAGGCAAGTGCAACAACCAAAATGCAAATTATGTTTTGTAACAGCAAAGGGCTATGATTAAATACTACACTACATTTTGAAATAATGGAGAACTACAAGTTCTCAACTTACAAACATTCGTTTAGTGACCAAAGTTACAATGGCACTGAAAAAAGTGACTTATGATCATTTTTCACTTATGACTGTTGCAGCATCTACATGATCACGTGATCAATCAGAATAGAGCTGGAAGGGACCTTGGAGGTCTTCTAGTCCAACACCCTGCTCAAGCAGGAGATCCTATATCATTTCAGACAAGTGATTGTCCAGTCCCTTCTTAAAAACCTCCAGTGATGAAGCCCCCACAACTTCTGAAGGCAAGCTGTTCTACTGAAAGTTGTCCTCACTGTTAGGAAGTTTCCCCTTCATTCCAGGTTGCTTTTCTCCTTGATTAGTTTCCATCCATCGTTTCTTGTCTTGCCTTCTGGTGTTTGGAGAATAAGTTGACACCTCTTCTTTGTGGCAGCCCCTCAAATACTGGAATATTGTTATCATGTCACCCTTAGACCTTCTTTTCTCTAGATTGGCCATACCCAATTCCTGCAACCGTTCTTCATATGTTTTTATCTCCAGCCCCTTAATCATCTTAGTAGCTCTTATTTGAACTTTTTCCAAAGTCTCAACATCTTTTTTCTAATGTTACCAACACTAGATGCAGTATTCCAGGTATGGTCTTACTAAGGATTTATAAAGTGGTATTAATACTTCACGTGATTCATACACTTGGCAACTGGCAGATATTTATGAGGGTTGCAGTGTCCCAACATCACACAATCTCCTGACAAAGTCAACCGGTAAGCCCGATTCACTTAACAACCATGCTACTAAGTAAACAACTGTAGTGATTCATTTAAGATCTGTGGCAAGAAAGATCATGAAATGGGGCAAAATTCACTTAACTGTCTTGCTTAGCAACAGAAATTTTGAGCTCAGATGTGGTTGTAAATCAAGGACTACCTGTAATCTTTTACACACTGAAAATGATATACCTTACATTTATTTTATCCTATCATTTTCCAATCGCAAAGAAGTATGACCAATATTTTTTTATCACATTCCAAAGGATATTTTAGAGCTTACATCAGCTCCTTAACCTTAATATTGGGAAGTTACAACTGTAGTTATTTCCTGATACTTGTACTAATACATAACACTAAGAAAATATTCAAATAAAAATACTGAGAAATTTGAAAATTTAAAGGCCATGAATAAGAGATCAGTTTAATTGTTATCCAATTACAGTATTATGTTAGTGAAATAGTATTTCTCAAGATTTCTGATCTCCTTTATTATCAAGTAAGAAAACAAAGAACAACTACAGAATACAATATTGTGACCCTCTCGTAGATGACTTACTTGTATTAGATCTAAAATGCCAAGTTCACTTTCTGAAGAATCAACGCAGAAAACAAAGTACAATGTAGCATAATGGCGATATATCAATTTGTTGTCAGATCCACCTATTAATCTAAAATAGAATAGTGTGTCAAAGAGCAATTAACAATATTCCAGCGGTCTTGGTTGGTAGCTAAAAGAGAAAACATGAGGCATAATTGTGGGAAATTTAATGATAAAAATAACTGATAATCTGAATATATATTTTTTCACTAGTTTTGATACTTAAGAAATGTTCCACAATAGTAGATATAGAAACACTGTGAAGATAAATTTGATCAAAGTGTCCCTTTCATAAATATATCGTGTTCGCACTACAATAAAAAATGAAAAATTTAAAAGGTTCTTACACAAGATCTAGAATGACTAAGGGAAAGAGGCTGCAAACTGAGTGCTAATGAAGATTTAAGATCATACAATAAATAATGGTCTAACCAAACATTTACATGTTTTTCAAGGAAGGAGTTTAACTACAACAGTCCTTGTGACTTAAGGTTCAAATTCTGCTTCCAGTTAATAGTATCAGAAAAGTGTGAATGAATCCAAATGCCATGTTTCTGGTTGTACACGTTCCATATTTCTCTCTCTCAATCTTTTTCTCTCTATATATCTCCAGAATAGGGCATTAATAAGTATCAGGCTTGGTAAAGATTACAGTTTTCCATTTCACTTTAAGAGTTTCTATTTTAGAACAACTCTCAACACAATGTATATATGCACTGAGTATATAGCTTCTAATTTGATCATACTTACAAGCCTCCTTCTAAGAAATTACAAACATTTTCATCACGTTTTGATACTAAATGGAATGTTTCTCTGATAATCTGTTGTTGTATATCTTCACTCTGAAAAGAAAGGAACATGTTGATGTTTCCAAATAGAACCATTCATCTGTCATCATTTATAACAATACAACTTTTATAACAAAAACACATTTGTTAAAAATGTAAGCCATTCTATTTCCAGTGACTCTAAGCAATTTAAAAGTAAATATATTTTCTTTAAAAAGGAAGGAGACAAAAATAAAAGATGGCAAAGATGACAAGAATCAAACAGGAATGAAAAAGAAACACAATCCAGGGGGGCTTTATTCGTGCTTGCAAAAGGCCTTGGGAAGAGCTTAAGTAGCAACTGAAAAGCTGTTGTGTTTTCACAGTTAATATCAGACCAGACCCAAAGAGACTTATGTTAAAACTCTCCAGAGGTTCAATGACTCACTGTAGGATTTTAAATACTTTGGAATGCTGCTTCAGATGAAAATGTATGCTGTATTGAACATTTGGAGGAAAGTTCAAATGTAATATTTTATTTTTAGATTATACAAAATTATATCTTACAACCTCAGTGAATCTGATTTTGTTCCAAATTTGTTCCAATGTTGAGGAAATCCTTTGGAATAAATCTAAGCTGATATGCCAAGTTCTTGATCGTTCTATTTAACACTCCCCATAACAAATCTTTTTCATAGGAAAATACAATTAAGACGCTAGTATACAAACATTTGTGATTTATTGCATGTCCATGCTGCTAATCAGAACTGGCACATTTATGTAACAAAGCATTCACACATACACAGTTACATAACAAAACATTCACACATACACAGTTGTGTAGAAAAAAAATAATATTTTTCTATATATTGGCAAAGCCACATTATACCAATTTTAACAGAAAATAAGCAACTCTTAAGACATTTTGTTTTGCATTTCTCTTTGATAAACATATATTTGCTGTTGTTTTCCCTCTTCCATCAGGTACCTAATAGTAGCAAGCTGAACACTCAACTTTTAATTTATAACAGTGCACAGGATCAACTTATATTATAGTATATCATCAACTGGAAAACAGCTTTAATTCTCAAGCAACATGAGAAATTCATTGCATCCAACCAGGCTCTCCTGTTTCCGATCTTACTTTTTTTTAAAAAAAAGAGCTTCAAATTTATATCAATCGGATCACAACCTCTATCATTCCCAGCCTATTTGACCAATAGTGAGAAGTTTAACCTGGAAGCTCCAGGTGAGCAAAGTTGCATAGCAATCTGGCTGGGCACAACAGGAGCTGCAATCCCCAAACGTTTAGAAAATATCAGATTGCTACATGGGCCATATATTCATTTCATAAAGATTTTAAGATTTTTTTTTTTTACATTTTTTTTTACTTTGCTCTTGAATTTTCCTTTGTAAAGCAAAATTATAAACCTAAATTTTTACCCTTCTAAACCTCCTTCAGATTTGCCCTATTCAGGTGTGTCCTTTGGGAAAATAAGGGCATTGCACGTTTCGGAAACAACCGCTAACCAACTCAGCCGGCTGCTTCTGCCGTCTAGGGCAGTGGTTCTCAACCTGTGGGGCGGGACCCCATTTGGGGTCGATCGACCATTTCAAGGGGGTCGCCAAGCAAGGCTGTCCGCCATTTTTTTTGTCCGCCAATTTTTTTCCCCTTTTCCGGCGGGTGCCTTACCTCCCTTGGGCTGGGCCAGCTGGTGGTCGGCCTGCTCCGTCTCTGCCGCTTGCCAGCTACGCCCCGGCCGGCGCAGGGGGCGGAACCACGCATGCGTGGCACTCCCGGGCAGGGAAAGTCCTCAACTTATGACCGGTTGGGTAGTCCTCGACTTACGACCGGTTTAGTCCTCGACTTACGACTGGTTGGGGTCGCGGCATTAAAAAGGTTGAGAACCACTGGTCTAGGGCCAGGGGTAGGCAACCTGAGATCTCCCGTTATCTTCTCCACCTCTCGCGCAGAGCCACTAGGAAACCCTGAAGAGTCCGACCTGGGGAAGAGGCGCTATTGCAACACGTAAACATCTAGCAAATAAGTCTCCCTTCCGCCCTTTCCTCCTAGAGCCGAATCGGGTTCCTTAATCTGGCGCTCGCCACACGACGAAGACTTTCAACCCGCCTCGCATCGACTTCCCCGTCACGGCGTCGAGCCATTCCCACCCCAACCCGCGCCTTCAGAGGACGACTGGACGGCGCCCATTCAACCCGTTTTCCTGGGCTCGTCCCGAATAATAAGCCCGCCGCCCCGGAGGGCGCAAAGGGTCCCGTGCGTCGTGAGGACGCAGCCCCCTTCCCCTTAAGCCACCCGAGGGCGGCCTCCCTTTCGACACTCACGTAGCGCTGGTAGAATTTGGAAAGCCGCGGCTTCCCATGGTTGTTGAAAATGAGGATCGCTTTAATCATGGTGAGGGCGTCGGCGGAGGACCCCCCCCACCGAGACGCGAGGAGGGGGCTCGCGGACCCCACTCTGCGGCGCGCCGAGTCGGCAGAAGCCCCTCCCCCTGCTCGGCTCCGGCCCCTCCCTCTCTCAGCCCCGAGCGAAGGCGGAGTTCAGAGACGAGAACCGTTCTACGGGCTTGCGACCGACGGAGGGCACGTCGTTTGATTAACTCCGGGGGGGGGGGGTACGGCGGCTCGGAAGGACCAAAAACAAAAAACAAAAAAAAAAGGCTGAACTCCCCGTCACGTGCTCCTAACGTCAGCCGCTGAAAGGGACGGGGGAGGGGCACCACTTCTGCTTTTGCAGCACTATGTCGGAGACCGGCGAGAAGCAGGAGGCGCCGCCGCCGATTGCTGCGGCGCTTGGCTGTTCGCCCGAGGAGGGGAGCCGAGGGGAAGGTGGGGAAGAAACCTCGGAAAATGGAGGAGGAGGAGGAGGAGCCGTTGCGGTAGGGGTGCTCGACGCGACTCCCCCCTCGGCTCTTTCCCCGGTGGCCGAAGAACCTCCGGGAGACACGAAGAAGAAAAGTAAAGCGGCTGGAGGAGGAAAGATCACCTGTCGGGCAGGGCGGATGGGGGGGGGGGAAACTTGCCGTCGTAGATATCGCAGCCTTTTTTCACATTTCCAATTTTCTATTGATTGTTACCTTCTCCGCTTTGTGATTCGTTTTTGATTCCCAGAGGGCTGCATGAAAGTGCTCCCCCCTTTATAATAAGGCCTCATTATACATTCACATTTTGCTTATTTAGGGACCGAGAAAGTTAATAGTGGGACTTTATTGGTTTGACTGAAACTATTCAGAGATGCCAAGTTCCCCTTAAATTCTTTTCTAGCTGTTATTTAAATCAGTTAATTAAAAAAAATATAGTTAAAAGCACAATGTACAAGCTTAGGACCACACGCAAAGCACCTTCTAGCCATGTCATGGAGTAGGGTCCAGAGCTCTTTGAACATTTGCTAATTTGCATCTTTAAAATGATAAATCTTTAAAATGTTGCATGGCAACATTTTGTTCGATTTTAAAATTACCTATTGGAATGTGCAATGTCCACTTTAAAAATCTTAAGAATGCCATATATTTCAATGTGACCATCCCTTTTCAGCTCGTCTGTATTTTAAATTGGCAAAAGGAAAAATATTCATTTACTTGCAGTTGAAGGATAAGCTGGACAAGAATAAGAATGATGATGGGGGGAGGGGTTGTATTACCCTCTTGAATTTGGAATTTATCACTACCACAAATCCATTGGGCTGTATCAGGGGTGTCAAACTGCCGGCCCGCAGGCCGGATGCGTCATGCTGAAACTGCGCCCATCCCATTGCCGGCAATGGAAAAAAAGTCACGATACGTCATGACACGTCATGTGATGTTGCGAGTTTGACACCCCGGGGCTATATTATTACAGTTGTCAGTAAACATTTTAGTCTCTGCAACTACATTTTATTTTACAGTTTTTAGTAGCAATTATGTATGTAGCTGAGCTGGATATTTCTTTATAACTATTTTATTAGTCATTTCCTATTTATTGTGGTCATGAGATTTCTTTTGGTTTTATCTTCTAAATATATTTTAAATAAAATAATACAAATTGGCATAATAAGCCACTGGAAAGCAGTTCGGTGTAGTGGTTCAGACATCAGGCTAGAAATCAGGATACTGGGATTTTTAAGTTCTGTCTCAGGCATAAAATCAGTTGGGCGACCGTGGGCTTGTCATTTTTTCTCTGCCCTAGGAAGCGCAATGGCAAACTACTTCTGAAAAAACCTTGCCAAGAAAACAGCAGGGCCTTGTAGAGGAAGAATCTGACGTGATTGAATGGAAGAAAAAAAAATATAGCTTAGGATGTTTGCTTTTATTTCTAAAGCCCATTCTGTATTTTTGAGACTTCATTCAGTATACTTTAGCATATATCATGTTTGATTTTCAATTTTTCATTTACAGTGTGTGTTCTGTTTTCTAGTTGATGTGTTGCTCAAAGCTGTTGGAGATACTCCTATAATGAAGACCAAGAAATGGACGGTAGAAAGAACTCGAACAATACAAAGCCTAATTGACTTCATCAAAAAATTTCTCAAACTTTTGGCATCTGAACAGCTGGTATGCAATTATGTTCTCATTCTTAAATAAGAAACCAGAGGAAAGCATATCTTTTTTAAACAACATTTTTTGAACATGAGTGCCATGCCATCCCATTTAAAACTTGTGTAGAGCAGTATATTAAGTGATAAAAAAATCCATAAAAGTCACTTTCCTCATGGTATAAAAATTAATTGTGGCTGTAAAAGATTCCTTAACTTAAATCCATGTGACTGGCTTGAAGTTCACATACTGCAGGACAATAAAACTGTATGCACTATCAGATATGGGAATAAAGATGTAGATTATTTTGGACTTGTTTGCCATACTAGTCCATGATGTTAGACCAGGGATCTCCAACCTTGGCAACTTTACGCTTTGCTGGCTGAGGAATTCTGGGAGTTGAAGTCCACAACACATCCCTTCGAAAGAGTCACAACCTAGATGTTGGCGGAGTAAAAGATAGTCAATGGCAGCCCTGTTCTGCAGAATAGCTTTACGTAATTCTATAAGTTCTTGGTTAATGGCTGACAGAGCCACCGAAGTAGCATTAATTGTCTTAGCCAGACTGCACGCGACGGAGTTTATGTTGATATGGGCTCGCAAAGCTAAAGCAGGAACTCCCACCAATGAAATGGCCAATGCTGTGAAGTGGTATATAAGTCTAAGTGCTACTGCTATTGTTATTTAACTGACCTGGTTAGAGAGTCATTGGGTTGAAACAGGGATATGTTTTTGTCCTGCTTATGGTTAACTTACACATTAATGTTTCACCTACCTAAACTTGCTTAATGGCCTGCCCCACGCCTTCTCTATGCTAGTAATAGGGCTATTTTGGGGGGAACGGAAGTGCGATTGAAAAGAGCCTTATCTTCATTTGTCCAGTGTTGTGAAGTAGAAAGTTTACAAATTAACTTCCATAAAATCAAGGCAGTGATATTTGCCAAGAAGGTCAAGGAACTTCCACACATGGTACAACCTGAAATTATCTGAAGCAAAATATATACTACAACTTACCTAATTTGAATTTCTACACAGCCATAAACTCTTCAGAAATAATGCAGTCTAAATTTCAAAGCTACCCAGAAGTATTTCCACTACAACCTTAGTAGTGGAGGTTGGAGATGTAAAAGTGGAGAGTTGGGTATGGATCTCAGTCCAAATTATAATCTTAAAATATTTTCCCTTGAAAAAATCTAATGTTGATTCTATCAGAGAGCCATGGGAAGGATTACATCATTACCCCTGTGACATAAAAACAGTAAAGAATATTCATATATGTAGTCACATTTATAAAAATCTGAGGGCAGGATTACATTTCTGCTGTTTTGGGGAAAAAGTTGGGCAAAGAAGATGAAGTATATATTTACCCATTTGATTCTTGTTCAATACTATGTGTAACGTAAATAAATTTTATTCAATTCCTACATTGGTAGAATTTGCTGAAGATGCCGTAACATATTTTGTGAAAACAGCAGTTTTTATTCTTTTATGTAGCTGTTTATATTGCTGTGTATTGGTCAGTGACCGTAAATTTAAATGAGTTGAGTTCCACACAATGGTTTATACAAAGTGCCCAGAAGTTTTCTTCTTCTGTTTTTATTTATTAACAAAAATTATAACTGTAGTAATATAAGCCAAAAAAGGGAGGTTGGATGAAAACACTATTCCAAATACTAGAATGGATTCAAAATTTCTATTTGTTGGAGGTTACAAATTTTCCACTGAGCCTAATTTATTCTTTTCAATCCCCTATTGTTTAATGATGCTACTGAATATGATGTGAAGCAGGAAATGCCGATTTAGTAGCCCAGTTTCTTGGATCGGCAGTAGGCTGTTTTTCTCATTTCAATAATTGCAACACTTTTTTGAGGTGGAGAAGGGAGTTCAGTACAGTATAACCTCTGTCTTGTATTTGGGGATGTTGTTCTTCCCTTTAACCTGATAATCGCAATACAAAATTATCATCAGTGTGTCTATGCTGAATTACTGTTTCTGAATAAGTATAAAATACTTGGTTTGTTATGCAACATTTTGAGTTTAAAAAATAGGAGCACTGATGATGTTGAGTAATGAAACACCAGTAAACAAACAACCAGGCCCAGAGGGCTTAAGGGCTGCACAGATAGAAAATATGTTAAACATTAAAAGACATAATGGCCACAATATTGTTGGGCAGCATTCTTGTGCTTAGAGTTGATAAAATGTTACCAATGTATTATTTCTTTCTCATGCAGTTTATTTACGTGAATCAGTCCTTTGCTCCTTCACCAGATCAGGAGGTTGGAACACTATATGAGGTGACTACTAGTTTACAAAATTATTTCTGCCTCTTATGGTAGGAATTAAAAGGTCACTTGGTGCCAGAGAGTTTAGTATTTGGGGTGGATACTTTTATAACATTATAAAGAGCTGGATTTTTGTAAATACCAAATCTCACAATTCACCAATAGTTTTAATCCTAAAATCTTGCATGTGAATGCTTAGGAAATTTGGTAATGACTTGTACAAATTGATTTTTTTAAAAAAATTGGGAAGCACTATAGTTTTTAAGAATACCAGAGCTCTCACATGTTTATAAGATATATCACACCAAAACAAATAACAATATAATCAAAACTTTTTAAAAATATATTGTCAATAGATGGCAGCATTTCACAAGAAAATCTTTATATAACTAACTGAACTAACTACAATAAAATTTGCTAATATAAATTTTAATTAAGTATTAACATTTGTTGTTTAACTACTTGTTAAACTTTTTTTCTTGTTTTTTTTACAGTGTTTTGGAAGCGATGGCAAACTTGTATTACATTATTGTAAGTCTCAGGCCTGGGGATGAATTAATAGCTACAGTTGCTTAAGACTATTAGATAGTGGATTGGCTAAAATAATCTTCAGAGACATTCCCCATGGACAGATGGAAGAGATATCTGCACTATTGCCATGGAATTTTTTTCTTTTTCCTTCTCTTTTCTCTA